CTCATTGTACCACTAGAATGAACATTTGATCAATTAAAACAGTAACCACAACTATATCCGCTGGCTCGGGTTATTTATTGCAATCATTGTCACAAGTTGTTATGATAAGCTAATCCAATCATGTCACAAGAGCGAAACGTAGCTGTGATACAGGGGCAATTTGTGTTCTCAAACCTTCGGAAGCGTGTTTGCTGCTTAATATTGAAGTGTAAGTCAAGAAATTTAAGCGGCTGCTGATCGACTAAAATCAACATTTCACCCAGTTTTCCAACCACTGCAGCAGAAAATCTTTACGATCACCTTGATTATTTTCTCTTTACTCGAGATTTCAACAGCTTGACAGCCCGTTTTTTACACACCCCAGACTATAGAATGTTGTGAATTCCCCCCACAGACTTGTGACTAATGCGAAGTTGTGCTTTGCGTGCAGCGGACACCGATTGATAGCTCTGACCACTAGAAATTCGCGTTATCTGTTCTCTGCAGCTTACTCGCAACAGCGATCGCAGATTCATGGGGAAACAAAGTGAACCTCATAAATTAATCACGACAATTGGTTGTATCCACACACGTTTTGACACTAATGTATCGGTGACTGTGGTCAGTTAACGAGCTATCTCAGTTTCGGTTTGGATACATATTGTCCTCGTGATGCTATTTTCATCTCTACTAATCCATTCTCATCTTCATACTTAAAACGGTTGCCTAGACTCAAAATAATAGCGTTTAAAAGACTACGCTTCATTGAAATCTCTTCCTGTTTCTTTCAAGGAAGATTTGCGCTCTTCAGACCATACTCGGAAGGAATAGTTGTCTTTAGGTCTGGCGGATACTGTAACGGCTTAGTGGAGTCTCTCACCTAGTGTCGAATCCAGACGTGGGTCTTGAAGAATTTCACCGATGCCTTTGTTGCCTTAATACTACCTCTACCTCTTACCCTTACTTTTCACAATTTGACTCATCCACAATCTCATTATTTGCCACCAACAGAAATATTTTGCTCATTAAACGGCTCCGGTTATATTGCGAAAAGGCAAGTGGCCCCGACGGATTAGCTTCCCTCATCCTCAAGGATTATACCGATTATTTGTCTCAGCCTCCTGATTTGTTTGCATTGTTCATGAATGACATAAACTTTCTGACTAGATGGACAAGTGGTACTGCCGAAGAAAGTTTCAAGTAAATACTGGCCAATTGCTTACAGTAACCTTTGAAGTATTCAAGAAGATTATTCTTGTACTGATGCTGACTCAAACTTATTCAGATGATCTCTTCTAATGTGCCTATGGTAGTTCGGAGTATGGACATGGCACATTGCTCTATCTGATACATTCCTTGTTGACATCGCTAGGTAACAAGATCAAGTTCATGCTGTACAAACCGGGAACTTCTGTTGGCAAATCTACACGATGCTGGTTTTCAACCTTCTACAGCCAACTTGCTGAGGGACTATTCCGCCTTGCGTGCTCAGTTTTGCCAACTTTCGGGAAAACTTCTTAACGCTCACAACAACCACTGGTGTTCTTCAGGGAACCTTATTGACCCATACCTTTCTTTTTACGTTGACTGATTACCTACCCTTCATGAAGCGATATTGCTGAAATTCCTGGAGGACATTTGACTTTGGCCTCATCTATCAAACTACAATCCTATCTAGGCAACGTTACATTATGGTCTAGAGCCCACTTTTTATCGCTTAATGTAATAAAATGCAATGCCCTTTTGTCTACCCTTGTTATCGGCAACTTCTCCCAGTATGCCCTGAATTTCAAATATAGTATGATGGGTTGCACTCCCCCGCATCATTGAACTAGGTAGATGTTGCGCTCAGAAACAATCTGTCCTGGTCACTCTATGTGTATGAAACATTCGCAATAGTCAAGAGGCTTTCTTCCTACGCTGCTCGTCCGAATTTCTCCTCTGCCCCCACCCCCCCCCACTCCGCTGCTTGACATTGTTATTTACCCCACTATCTGTGCGCTGCCCCGCTGCTCACCGTTGATATTTCCTGGTTTATTAAGGAAGCATTTGTAGGTACTGGACATGTCATTGTATCAACTGTCTAGATGTTGCGGAGTTTCAAAACCCACATTTGTTGACATTCTTAAGTCGATTCAAACAAGTTCATATAGAAGCTTACTTGAAAAATTCTCAACAATGCAAGCCATCCTCCTCGTGGTGAACTGTCTTGTTCTATGTCCACTTCATCTACCAAACCAAGCTATACGTCGATTTGTGCTCACGCACACATTTACTATTCATATTTATATTGTTTTTGGGCGACCAAACTTCAGTCGTTCTGTAAGGTACTATACATTTCACCTTGTAGCTTCATTACTGTATATTCCCTTTCTTAACCACCTTTTGTGTCTATCTTTATTAATCTTTATTTACAATACTAAAGGCTTGTGTGTGTCAGCAAGTAATGCCCCTCCTGAGTCGTTGGATTCGGGAGCGTCATGGTTAATGAGAAGGTCACTGGACTAATGCATTGGATTAGTGCAGGCACATTTATGCGGTCGTCTAAGACACTATTCGAACAATTGTATGGCAGTGTCAACGTTCGATGCCAGGAAAAAAATTGTCTCCGCCGACCGGTCATAACAGCGTGTAATAAATGTCCCAGTTGCTGCGTTTTATTTGCTGTAACGCAGCATGTGAACTTGGCACATATTTCTTTGCCCAGTCACATGTAAACCTGGCCTCTTTGTGCCCACTGCCGGTATCCAGAACTGTGCAGGAACGTTTCCAGGTTACTAACATAGTGCCACGTTTCTGTGCTGAGTACCATGGGGGATTTGTTTCAGTTAATGAAGTGTCCAAAATGATGTCACTTGGTCACCAGAACGCGCATTGATGAGAAGCAAATGCTAGTTCGATTTGGTTGCTGCTCTAACGGCCAGCTTATCTTATCTCACGGATCGAGACATTTTTTTAGCTGCCCCTGAGTGGACATGGCTGTTGTTTGTATTTTTACCCATATGGCAGACCTGCACTAGCCGCCTCACATGCATGTGCGGAACTGGCACATGGGATGTGACCCGCCGAGCAGTAGAGTGCTTCTGTTGTACCTTGATCTGCACAGCTTCTTACTTGACCGGGGATGACTTGTAACAGCGAGTGAGATCACTCACCTGATCTACATCGAGGTTGATATCACCGGAGTAGGACACAACTTTTGATATCGTGGACGTCGCACAAAACTCGTTTGGTGAACTGACATGATACAAAGATGAGTCCCATTTGAAATGATCATTTACGGTGATGTGATGTAGTCTCACTCGAACTGTGGTGGCGAGAACTGGCCTTAACCTACCGAGTATTCGTGGACACGATTCTACTAGTTTTATGAAAAGCTGGGGCAGATGGTATTACGTTAGGGAATATGACGATTAATGCTAGGAAAGGCCATAATTCGCCATTCTCCAGAGAGAACTGGTACTCGGGGATTGGAATTGTACTGTTCGAGTTGAAGCAGAGTCAGGCTAGAATGTAACCTTCAGCTTACTGGCTTGTCTATACGTTCCGCGAGATTGCTCGGTCGTCTGGCGATCTCATGCTCTCAATTCATTGATGTCAGACTTGAACGACAAGCACTTGTCTTGAAACTGCAATTGTTGCACTTTCTTATGTTTGTATTGCTCCAACTGCGGTGGCCGCATGAATTGGGTGCTTCCCTCCAGCCACTACCGCTATCGTTTTACTCACAACCCTTAAGATTGTTCTGTTTACTGATCTGGTGACGATTTTTTTCATAATCTTGATGAGGATTATGCCTTACTTGATGCGGCATTACATTATCATGAGTGATCAGTGAGTATCAAGCTTCGCCGGCTCGAGATTTTCGGTCTATCAAATGCGGAACTAACGCTCAATAGTTGGATCGTTGCTGAAGTAGCGCAAAGCAAAATACGTCAAACAATTGGATGTCAAACTACCTTCCGACAGGCATTTTGAACAATGACTCGGTTATCCATATTAGATTAGGTACATCGATTAGTGTTTGAGCGGTATATGGACACACGTTTGCAAATATAGACGCCTAATCGGTAGTACCGAACGATAGTGGTCATCTCCATCGCGACTCAATCCAATTGGTTGTGATTAACGATTCACTTAAGCTCTCCATTGGTGTTTCCATCCGTCCTTGGGGTATGTTGATGTGCCTTTCTATTTTTCCGCTTCACTTCCTCTCTTACCCGATTCTTCGATCACATCTTTTTGTCATCAAATTTACACTAATCTTTCTAGTCTTATATTGTTCCATTTGTGTATATCGATAGATAAACAGTGTTGCCATGAGCACTCCGCTAAGCCCCTTGTTGGCGGGTATGTTCATGAGCTTGCTTGAAGAGAAAACAGTTGATATCATGATTTCCGCGACTCGATATAAACGTTGTGTTGATGCTGTACTGCTTATCATGAATTCTGACGAGGACATCGTGCATACGGTTGAAATACTCAACGGTACGGACTAGTGTCTTACAGTGACGTATGACATTACGCTGAACTATTGTCTCCCTTACCTAGACACTGATCATACGGTAGTTAGATAGTTTTACCAGAAAGTTAGTCTAGTGAGAAGTAACTTAAATAAGTTCGTTTTTGCATCTTAATAGTTTTTCCTGACATAACACAAATGCTTACTCGTCCAGACATTTGTTATCGATTTCACTTGATTGACCCGCACACACTAGAGGCAGAGAAAATCTGCCATCCAAAACATTACAATACTATAATTATCCATCGCGGTTTGTAAGGCCCCTCAGTAAGAGTACCAATTGAGATCGTGCACCAACAGCCCAAAGGAACCTAGCCTCCGTATAGCTTCCGTTCAAATCAGCTCGAAACGAATCATGGCGTATAATGCAGTTGAAATGCGCTTGTTTACATCGGCATAATTTTGTTTATGCGTTCGATTAAGGCACTGACAACGACGTAATGTATGTTCCATGGTGTATACAAATTAACCTGAAGCCATGGACACAGCTATGTCGGACACATTGACCGGAATTTAGCTCTCCGCGTCCACGAACGCATTCCGAAGTGGTTACCTAGTGGGATGGAAATCGGGTGATACGAGACATCGAGTTGCTTCAGCAATCACATGGCATTTACTAAGCCCCTTCCGCCAAGTCAACTTCGATGAATGTGCCATCTGATGCACAACATCTGCCCCGCATTCTCAGTCTAGTGGAAACAACTATAACCTCTCAAGCACGGCCATTGCTATGCGTACAGGAATGACTGACTGTAATTCTGAAATTTCCATGCAAGAACGAGGTGCGCCTACTAGCCAATGATTGGTTTGCTATCGGTCACATATGACTCCGTTTTTATAAGTCATTAGTTGCAACTTCGCGATTGATAAATGTTCACGAAAAACTGCATCATCTCACATGTTAGGTCTTTTGGTTTTCCTGTTTAGAATCATACAGAGAATTTCTTGTTTCGAATTTCTAATCCGTATTTGACACTCAGCAATCGTTGAGGTGGTCCCTAAAATTTTAAGGTTTTTCACGAACTCGCTTACTTTTTGAATTGTCACTACTCGCTTGAGCCATGTTCAATACTTCGTTACCTTTTGGTCGATGAAATGTAAGCCATTTTGCACACATATATCGATCACGGATACCGATACTCTTCCAACCCATTGCTAATTTTAGTATGCAGTTGCTGTCTTTGGATCTCTTTCGCAGTTCGCACATCTTGCCCCTTCGTAGTATCAAAATCCCACCAGGGGGGCTTACCGCAGTTCACCTTGATCAAACTGCCTGCTCTAATTTGTGTATACTTGCGGTTCCAGTCGTTTACGAGTGCTCTCATGACTTCATTGCAGGCATTTTCGTCGGTCAAGCCCGGTTATGCGGCATTCGTTTTAGCAGCCATGTGTTCAGTACCTTCGTCCGCGTACCAAGTCACCTCTGTTTTTAAAAAAACAGTTTGTGAAAACACTAGATAGCCGATATTTTGTTTATCAGTTGAAGTCCCACTCTCCCTCCTTATTATACTCATTTCTCCTTATCTGATCCTGGAAATTTGCCTTTTGGTTACTCCACGTCATACTTGAGATACTTTAATATTGGTGCGATAGTATGGCAGAATCGAACATCACGTTGTCAACTTTTAAGGACGACTGTTGCTCTCTTCGTGCATATGGTTGCTACCATCTTAGACAAGTGATATTTGTTCGCGATGAATTCATGTGGCAGATCTCGTTTCAACTTCACCTGTACTCTCGCTGGTTTGATACACAGGATAAATCGCGTTCGAACGGTCCCAATGACTTTCACCGGTCGTCCTGGACGGCATTTACAGGTCCTACCCTTGTACTCCAGCTAGTTTGAAGAGCACATCGTCAAGTTTGAGTTGAATTATGCAACGCAACATTGTCCACTCACTTTTTGTCTTTAATTTGCATGTCCCTCGGTTTTTATTCTACTATCCTTTAGTTTGCCTACTCCTGTCACGCAAGACGAGCACGTTGAACAGCCCAGCGTCGCGTCGTTCGTTTTCCACGAGCAAGTCATGTTGCTTACAGGGTGGCGGCTATTCCCTATACTTATGCTCGGTGCGTGCCCCATCATTGTGAAGCGCGATGACGAACTTCACCTTTTCACACATTTCATGCATATTCGATAACTTCTCTCTTCGGATGACGATTTGGAATTGCCCAGGTCACATTCCCAGGCTACGAGCCTGAAGCGAACCTCTTGGATCTCGATTGCAGAAACGCATTGACTTTGTCAAAGAGCTTAGCAGTGCGATTAGAGCTTACTTGTGACTGAACACCGGCGTTCACACTGGTTACGATTCACATTACGCGTCCAAGTGACCAGTGCGATGACGCTCTTCGTTTGACCGTCATTCTGTGGTCTCGCTTTACAGGCTAATAGAGCAGTTAGTTTGCATTGCTATACCACTCTCAGAGGCCCCATTCCAGGGAAACTGAACTTGCACCCTCCGAATTCGCACGGTTAATTCTATCGACGGAATTTTTGTCCTGCTAACGGGGTCATACAGAACCGTCCATCCGCTACTTTAGTTTCACTTTGATGGGGTAGCGAGGCCTGACAAACAGGCTGAGATTCACTGTCGAAACACTCCCGCAGCAACGACTCACTACATCAACTTTATCTTTCCTAATTTGCAAACTCCAGTTCAGTTAATCTACTATCATTCGGGCACTGAAGTGCGATGGATCGGTTGCCACGAATCGCGTCACTAGAATATCAATAGAGAACAGTGGGGAACCAAATGAGGCAAAACACAGAGAGCAGATGCAAAATAGAGAAGGTAAGCAACACATGGTCAGAGAAATACGAGGCGGACTACTGACAGCTGGATGTAACAACCCGGTTACGGGGCAGCTACTGGTGCTGTTTCAAGTTGCTCAAGATTTCATTCTGATAAAGTTGCTCAGCATTTTCCATCCTCTACCATTTCTCATTTTTCCCGGATGCGGAAATCTTTGCATTATTCGAGTTATCTGGTATTGACTGTTGGCTCAACGGAGTTGTGTTTTTCTGTCATAGCACTGCCCTCACTTCACAGTTTCGACAATCGCGCACAAATGTGGTGGTGAAGTATTTCGCTTTCATCTTGTCACTCCTCTGTGGTTTTGCGTGCTTTTTGATCACGTAGATAAGCTTTATTCGTTTCGTTCTCTCATGCTCTGTATTCACCACCACATGTCGCAGTGTGGATCATGGAATGGGAAGAAGAGCGTGAAAACCAATTTAATGTTGAATGAGGGGATATCGAGCCTAGTGGATGTGTGTGTCTGGGGCCAGTAGTAACTGCATATGGATTTATAAGAAAATGTCACTGATCGAAGCGCCGCCATGTCACACAAGTGCTTCACCGCCCCTGAAAGCGACATTGTCCTACTGGAGTCATGCCTCAGATGGGCTTCGTTGGATCACCGGTGTCATTTTCAGGCTATGTTGATGCTTCAACCAGCTGGGCCCATTCACAGTGCACACTGCCTTGGTGGGTAGTGATCACGTATGCATGCTTAACAATTATCCGATTAGACACGTATTTCTGTTGATTACTATGTTCTGTCCGATGTCTCCAAGCTTGCCATGAGAAATTGTGTTACCGTACCATTGAATAATACGTGAGATGCTTGGTGCTTGCTGTTCTACTGCACTTTGAAAAATGCACATTTGTGCGGAAATTGGCTGCTTGAAGCCTGTTTCACTGAAGCTATAATTGTATTTGGCCACTTCTTTTTGAGTGGCTTTATACTGAAGTCACGCATCTCTCAGGTGTCTCATGAAGTTGTTCCGAATCACTCACTCGCAACTGGTAACTCAAAGTCCCTCACTATGTCAGTCAGATTGATTCTTTTACTCATCGCCCGTGAGCCCGTTGTATTTCGTTCTAAACTTTTGGTATATCCATGTGTTTGCCCCACTGTCAATTGACACTAAGTGGTCACTTGTTACCCGAAAAATGAGCACTGTTAAGATTAGTTTAGTTTTACATTCACTTTTGGTATTAAACTCTCACTGATTTTCCATTTCTCAGATGTTGTCTTCGTGTGTGCACCAGAGCACCATCGTGGACACATATCCAACATACGCTGTTTAGCTGTGCCTCGCACCATCGGATCTGAGTACCAAACGAAGCCATCTAGTCGCTTTCTACTCACAGGTGGTGGCCGTGGCCAAATCGGTCTCTGGCGTTTTAATGTCCCAGACCTTGGCTCAGGAGACCTCTGGCGTCCTGGTTGGTTAGGTTACACGTTGCTTCGGTTGACTGAATCCACCGATCCACGCACACAGCACCATAGGCGTGCTAAGGGTGTATCTTCTTCCGTCAACCCATCATTGTCCGCCGACTTACGAATAATGGCACTCCTGTGCTCGGAAACGCCAGAGGTCTCTAACTGCGACACACGGTTGTTGTCGTTGGCAGCATGCTCAGATGGTTCCATTCGGTAAGTAGTGATGGTTCGTGCTACCATCCACCTTTCCTCGCTGTGTTCTCATCTTTGAATTGACTCCTTTTTGTCCGAACTGCTCCATAGCTATTCCCCTTCACTACACTGAGAGTACAGTTGGCCCCACTACTGCCGCCACTTTCTTTGTGCGCGTAAGACTTCGTACTTCACCCTCTTTTTCATACTTATAAACTTGTTGATTATATGTCACAAATCTGCACCCGCCACGCTGCATGTTCGCGTAGCAGTGTATGCTGTCGCTCAAGTTTGCAGTTGGTTGCATTCAAATTATTCCCTTTTTATATCCTAATTCAATCTGGGCGCTTTGTTGCATGTCGATGTTTTTCTTTCACCTCCCGGCAATTCAGCACATCAATCTTGTCCACCATTATCTTCCTGGGAACATTTCATAGTGAATACACCCTCGCAAACAGTTTTGCCCTAATATATCCTTTCCGCCGTAATCTCCTTTTTCAGTGTATCATCAATGTTGACGTGAAGGTGGGAACGCTTAGCTTACACACTTATAACTTTTTTTCTCCACACAGTCTCCTCGTTATCTACCCACCGAATCACACGCATCCAAAGAGCTGCAAATTTGTTGAGCTTGGTTCTCTACGGCAGCTGTGCCCCGGGTCACGTTGGCGTCATCCGGCTGCTTGTTACTTGGATTTACAATGGGTTGAATGCGGGGTACCCGATCGTTTGAATGTGCTCGCCACGAACACCCGTGGCTGCGTTGAATGTTGGTCTGTGTGCCTTGTGGATGCCGATCCGACCACTTGGATCGTGTCGGAAAATTGGTCCCTATTCGCTGAACCCATTGCTCCATTCTATGTGCTCACTGCTCCCGCAATCAACTGTGTGGACACGTTCACACTCACTCCCTTCGACTGGCATTTGGCTGTTGGTGGTGATGACGGAAGTGTGCGGATTGGCAGCTTCTTGTTCTCAGCATCGCGTCCGTCCTCTCCTTCATGGATCACCGCGGCAACCCACCATTACGCGAGTGTCATCCAGCTGCGAGTAGTAAAACGGGATATCTATGACGCGTCTGGTGTTCAACGTCTGCTAACTCTAGCAGCGGATCAGCGATTGATTGTTTGGAGCTGGTCCGGAACAAAACTACTACCGCTGTGCTGCTCATTACTACCTGGATTGGGAGATCCCCACGGCCTTGCACTTGACTGGTTACTTCTATCACAGGCTGGAACAGTGGGACATTCGTCGACGTGGGCGTTAACTGTCGGAACTGGACTTTGCTTACTGGAACTTGATGGTCAGTCTTGAAAATTTTGACGCAGAGTTTGGAATGCCCCTTGCTGCTTTCTGTAAGCCGCTCAATGGACCCTTAAGGGTGTTCTAGTGTTTCACACATTTCCCCGGCTGTAAATGATGAAATAAATTTTATTAATCGGACTTTCCTATTTGATTCCGTTCCCAAGATTCGGTTACGGCTGCTTACGTCACTTTGAATATGATTATCAGAAATAATTGGAGCAACTAAAGTGGGAAAACAAAGTCTAGCAAGGACAGAACTTTGAGGTGATATATACATATCTAACACTTTACCAATAACAGTGCACTTGACAGAGTGCCAAATCATATGGTTAATTAAAATGGCATATTTGAGATAGGGAGCCATGACATACACGTCCGTTGCTCCATCGATACAATATCGGGCACGCAGGTGGAATAACGTCTTTTATTACCGCGCATTATTGTTACAGTTGGGTTGTGCAGGGTCCTGTTTAGATACGGTGTGCTCTGAAAATCTGTACTCGGCAAAGTGGTCGTGCAGGAATTCCTTGAATTCGGACATCGACTTCGCTTTGACTATTGTTTCAGGTAAATGTTTCCAATATTTCACAACTCGAAGCATAGAGGGTTAGGTGTTTCTCCTGATCCAATACTGCAAACTTGTACCAGTGCCCGCGAGTGTTGATTAGTGCGCGTACCTACGGAAGGAACCTCAGCGTAGGAAAGTCACCAGTTGTAATTGCCGCTACGTCATTATGAAGTTCATTCGAAATGCACAATACGACAGGATGTGCATCTCCAGGCTCCTGCGTCGGTCATACGTCATACCCCGTAAATTGTCTGAGTCTGGTGCTGATATGCTGAGCCGTACTCGAGCATTCCTCTTAAGCTGGAAGAGAAGAGGCGAATAGCAATATCTTCGAGTCAAGTGCAGAAGCTACGTTTGAGTACCCAAAGTGTGCATAGTCCGTTGCCGTATAGCTTGTTTGTGTTGTCCACGTCAGCGTGACATATCTTGGAACATACTTGGAACCGATCGGGAAGTCATCATTTCAGAGAACTTGGTAGACGACCGGTTAATATATTTATGTTGATAGTACGCTTGAGTTTTTCAGGTAAGGTGTGGGATGAGCGGTTGACCGGCTGAAGTGTACTGACTCGGTTGGCCGGCAGATCGAGTGGATAAATGGTAGATGCCATGCCGAAGTACACCACAGTCGTCTGGTACATCATTTACATTTCAGGTCGTCCGAAAAAAAGCACTCGGCGACCGAGGGAGCTGAGATAAACCGTTGATGTAGATTAGTAACAGAGTGGGCCCCAGCACTGTGTCTTGACGTTTGTCACTAATACCAGTCAGCTAAATGATCATCCACCTGTACCCTCTACTTTCGCCTAACAAATAAGTCGCTACGACACATTAACTGAGGTATTTCTCACCTTCAGCCAAAATGTATCTAAAAGACAAGAATTCACTGGTCCACCAACATCGCATATCCTCAGCTTGTGTCAGAGGACCTGCTGGTTCACCTTGTTCGACCTTTTACTGAAGTCACTATAGTTTGAACGCGGTACAGACGCACGGCCGTTTACAAATACGGAAAAGGAATGCGTCAATGCCGACACACGCTCAGCGCCTGCATTTAGGGGTTGCCTGTCTGAGCCCTTCAAGTCTCAGGCACCGCTTCGAATAAGTAAAGATCCTTTAGGGGGCAATCTCCGCTGCGGATGGAAGCTACTCTTCGAACTGCGGATGTTTTTGCGCTGTTGCGTAATTTCCGTTCAGGTCCTGTCACGACACAGTTGAATTCGGTGTAGTGCGCGTTGGCTGGCAGCTGTGCTGTGCTACCCGTCTCAAATATCATCTCGACTTCACAATGCCTGGGGAGAAACTGAACCTCATGCCAGCGTATTCGAGGGAATTTAAAATCACCCATGATTCACCAGCGGCTACGACTCATTTAAGTTCGAACATGTGACAACTAGTCCAAATAGTGAATTTGCGGGCTGCGATAGGCTACACCCAGGAGCAGTTCGCCACATCTGAAGTGAATCGAGCACCACAGTTGCTTGCGTAAGCCATCTTCGCCTCGGTAGATGCTTACTAGTCTCCTGCTTATTTGGCTTTTTCGCCTCTTGGTCCTCTGTTCGCCAACGCTACTGACTAACCTGGTAGACTCCACTTCAGAGTATTGCGGACACTCGAAATATTTTTTGGCGGATACTCCAACATTCCACCATTGGGCTAACTCGAAATATGGGGATGCAAATCTCCCAATGTTCGTTTCATGACTTTTGCACTACTCGGTCCTTCAGGGTCAAACCTTTATTCGACAGTCAACTCAGCGAAAATTACAGTATGTTTGGCAAACCAAATTCCTCCATAGTTGCACGTTCACGTCCATAACTAACGATTCTTCCGGGTTGATGAGGTTTCTCCTTTGACTCAGTTAAACATACGCTTAATGACCCACAGACATGTCGGCCGATCCGTGTCCAGTAATCGGATCCCTTACACCCGTTTCCCATTGACCGTTTGGCTCATTCGGTTTGTCCATCCGTTCACCCTGATCTGACACGCTTTTCGTATCTTTGGGCTTTCATATTGCTATGCGCCTCGTACGCCTTGCCATTCCGCGTCGTCTTCGGTGTATCTTCAGTCATGGTCTCGTTGCCCTACGCCATAGGGCACTCCATTCTCAATCATCATCTTCATCAACACAGTACATCAGCCACTTGAACTGATGCTTCAAGGCCGTTCAACCACAACGGTCTATGAAAAGATTGATAACAAGTGGTAGAAGAAAGGGACTGTCTGGCGTCATAATCAGCCATTACTCCGCAACTAACTCAGCCAGTGGAGTATTTAAAGGATATGATTCTATTGTGCATCGATAACCTACGCTTTGAGTTTGAGGGGACCGCATACAAACACGTCGACGGTGTCGCTTTGGGCAGCCCTCTGAGACCAGTTTTAGCCGACATCTTCCTCGGCTTGATTGAAAGGCAAGTTGCTGCCAGCATTGGTGAAACGATATGTGGATGACATTCTAGTCTTCACCAGCGAAGAACATTTTACCCGGCTGCTGACCATCCTGAATTCGATTCACCCTAATCTATCGGTATCCCATGAAGTGGAACAACACGGTTGCCTGCCGTTTTTGGATCTACTCATTAGGAGACGGGCTGAAGGTACATTGCAGTGCACTGATCACCGCAAATCCTTTTGGAGTGGACAGTACCTTCATTTTTCAAGCTCCTTCCCGATCGCATACAAACGCGTCTTAGTGAAAGCTCTCTTCTACCGGGCTAAACGTATTTGCTGCTCTAAAACTTTAAAAGCCGAAGAACATATTCTACGCAAGACCTTAATTTCTAATGGATATCCTGAGAAGTTTATACAAGTGTACAGCAGACCTTCCAGCGTAAAAACACCGGTGTTGACGGCTGAGAAAAAGGATGTTAATTTGTTCTTGCCGTTCAAGGAGGACCATGTGGCAAATGATATCAAACGCAAGCTCCGGTCCGCCCTAACGCGCACCTACACGACAGCCGAGTTTCGACTCGGGCATATCACGCGAGGACTTGTTCTTCATAACCGTCAGAGCATCTCATCGGGTAGTTCGGCCTCTCACGTTGTTTATCAGTTCACCTGCGGTTGCGGTGACATTTACATAGGCAGAACAAACTGTCAGTTAGCTCAGAGGGTAGCTGAACATTTGCCAGGGTGTTTTGTGACAACTGATTACGCAACAAAATGGGACGGATCTGAGGATTAATCGGAGCCCGGCATCGTCTATCACCAAACAGCTCATGACAACTCGTCATCGCGTGAACCATGAGACTACGTTCAAAATCTTGTTACATAACAAAAACCCGATAACGCTGGCAATTAGTGAGGCGTTGTTAATTAAGGCCCATCAACAGAAATTTGAGGCAATCAGTTCGGTTGTCATAGTCTTGACTGTGACATTTTGACTGGCGTTGCTTATTTTTCTGTGTATATAATCGTTTGTGTGTTTCTGCTCATATTGTGTTTGCGACTGAAGAGAACAATCGAAATGTTAACATATCGCAACCTCTGTCTTCTCTTTGCCTTATCACTTTAAACAGGCCGTCCGACTAGGAGACGGCAGCAGACACGCCACTGGTGCCTACTGCGAGACATATCCTGTTAAGTCTCGAGCCAAGCACTATGCGAGTTACGTGGACTTTAGCCTGGAAGGCGAGACGGACCGACGACATCAAGTTTGGTCGTTAGTGACTTCATTTCCCGCTTCCAAGTCAACTTTTATCCACCTCGAACCTTGCGCCACCCTACATCTGACAGACAAAACAAGGTCCTGCTCGATAAGCGGTGACCGGACGCACGTAGTACGTGTCCAAGCTAGCGCATCTTATTCAGTGCTAGCCGTTGTTCTAGGGAAGTAGCTTGGGTGTCATTACCTAGCACTCGCCTATGCACAGCATTTTTGCGGGCACGCTGGTGCATCCCGACACCAGCAATGTTCCGCAGACAGTGATGATCAAACACTTAAGTGCGCTTTAGATCTTCAGACCGAAGTGGCCAAGTCCCACACTATTTGAGTAGGACAGCCCTCACTGTGGCCTTGTAAACACTACCTTTTAGACGGAAAGAATCTATTTTCTGTCGCCACAGATGTCGCAGATTAAGGACGTCAGTTCGGGCTTTTGCAATGCGTGAACTGAATTCAGTTGCTATGCGCCCATCGTTGCTGATCTAGCTGCCAAGGTAAGTGAATTGCTCAACCACCTCGAGTTCTCGCTATCCAGCGTCAAGTGGCTAGTGGCCCTGCAGGAACACTTTGCAGTTTGAAGCTGCGGAGCGCATACCAAATAATGGGATCACTTTAGAGAGGCTATGCAGGGTGGATTGCGCCGCCTCAACATCGTCGAAAAGCAAGAGGGTATCGTTTGCATAATCAAGCTCAATTAGCCTTTCAACAGACAGCACCTCTGTTGTGAGGCTTCGCAAGCAAACACTCCATGATGCAGTACACGACAAAAATGGGGAAATCGGACAACCCTGACGAACGGCATTTATGATCGGAACGCTATCCGACAGGTCACCGCCGTCACTGACGCGATCTGTATTATTTGACTAGAGAACAGGTAGATAGTTCACATATTTCATGGG